GTGTTGAAAGAGAGCGGTAGGGCATTTCACGGAAGGGTGTCTGGCCTTCCCAGAGAAGTCTCTAAACCCTAAGTGTTTACCTGCAAGCCTCCTGCAAGGAAGCCATTAAGAGAAAATATCCTTTTGTCTGAAGACAGGAGATTTGTGTGGAAGGGGCGGGTGCATGTGGGCAATCCTTTGCAGCAGGTGCCATCTTTGTGAGGTGGTTATGGAGTTTCGAGGAGAAATAGGAGGCCAGTTTCACTGAACCTGGAGTGCCCCCACAGCCCCTCATTGCTCGCACACAGCAGGGCCATCCATAGTGTCTGATTTTCATCAGTTCAGATGGCGCCCAACAGTCTGATGAAGTAAAAAATATAATGGGCTTTGGAGTTCCTTGCTGTGTGGCCGTGGGCAGCTTACTTAACCTTGCTGATTTGTTTCTGCGCTTGTAAAACGGGTAATAACCCTCAGGATTTTTACAAGAATTAAATGAGATAGCTTAATGAGCCACTTGATCTACAGAACATTCAGTAGAGGCTCGGTAAATGTTAGTTTTCCTCCTCCCTCCCACCGTCCTCATTCATTAGCTCTCAACCCCATCGGCTTGCTAGCAGTGTCTAGAGACCCTCCCAGACGCAGTTGTTTGAGCCCCACGCACTTCGATTCGACTTTAATTGTCCTGTGGCGGGGCTGAGCGTGGGTATTTTTTTAAGCACCTGTTAAAGCAGGATTAAAAAAAAATCCTGATTCTCACACAGAATGAAATGAGCACAGGACAAAACTGCACAGCCCCGTGAGACAGTGAAAACAACACATGGCTAGGTGCACGGTGATTCTGAAATAGTGCATGGGTAGTTTAGGTGTGTCCACACAGGCCTGGGAGGAGCGATCCTGTGCTGCGTTCCTCAGGCTCCCTTGTCTAGGTCTGCTGGGTGTAGCCAGTTACACTGGGCACTCAGCTCACTGGTCGGTAGCTCACTTGCAGGGTAGCTCAGAAAAGGCACTGAAAGAGATGAGGTCCTGCGCTGGAGCTCAGGGTCCTGAACTGGAGCCCTGGGTCTTGCGCTGGAGCCCTGGGTCCTGCACTGGAACTCAGAGTCCTGCACTGGAGCTCAGGGTACTGCACTGGAGCCCTGGCTCCTGCACTGGAGCTCAGGTTCCTGCACTGGAGCCCTGGGTCCTGCACTGGAGCTCAGGGTCCTGCACTGGAGCCCTGGCTCCTGCATTGGAGCTCAGGGTCCTGCACTGGAGCTCAGGTTCCTGCTCTGGAGCTCAGGATTCTGCACCGGAGCTCAGGGTCCTGCACTGGAGCCCTGGGTCCTGCACTGGAGCTCAGGGTCCTGAGCTGGTGCTCTGTGTTTCATTCCATTCTTTTTACAAGCATTTGTGAGTGTGCATGTATGTGTGCCTGTGCACATGCACAGAGTTCAGAAGAGGGCGTAGGATGGCCTCTGTCAGTCTTCACTTATTCCTGCGAGTCAGGGTCTCTCCCTGAACCTGGGGCTTGCGTTTTCTTAGCTAGGCTAGAAGCCAGCAAGCCACAGCGATCCTCCTCCCTCTGCCCCACCTTGGATCTTGGCTTTACAGGCAAGTGTGCAATGCCCGACTGGTTATGTGGTTGCTGGGATCTGACCTCTGACTTCAGGATTGTGCAGCTGGTACTCTTAACCACTAAGCCATCAGTCTGCCTACACCTATCCACACCCACATATACTTTTTTTTTTAAAGACGGTGTGGGCTGTAAAGACAATAGTGCAGGCTATTCTTAAGTTCACTGTAGGTAAAGAGCTTTGGACCTCTGATCCCCCATTTCTACCTCGTGAGTGCTAGGATTCCAAACGTCGCACCGAGACTTGGGTGCTTTTAGCTGCTGTGACTGCACCGTGTCATAGGTATTGTTCAGTGACTCTGAGTGCAACAGAGAATCTTCTGGTATGGCTCTCATGTTCTGCTCCTGTAGTTCAGTGCCATGTCTGCCTATGCTAAGGTCTCCAAAGCTGTTTAGAGCCTGGGTGTGGCTCTTGGCACCGTTAGGGCCCTTGCCTAGCGTGGGCAAGGCCCTGGGATGACCCACAGCTCTGCAAAAGCAACCTTTGTGGAATATAGAACGGGCTGAGATAAGGCAGGGAAGGTGCAGGAGGCAAGGCAGCCTCCTCCCTCCGCTGGGACCTCACAGTCAGTTCCTGAGGAGGCTGCAGCTACACTGCCCTCATTCAGCTCCTCCCTGGCCACTCCAGAGTGTCTGCCACGAACCAGTCTTAGCATAGGTCTCATCTCCCCATACCTGTGGCACCTCGTGGCCTAGAACTCATAACCTGACTTGTGCCTTTGGGTCAGCGAGTCTTGACTGTGTGGTCCTGGACAAGTTACTTGGCTTCTCTGGGCTTCCATCTTCTCTTCTCTAAGAGAGGGAAGCCTGCTACAAGACATTGCATAGGACTAGGGCACAGAGTGTTCACAGGGGGTCCGGGGCACGGTGTGTGCTCATGGCCCTGTAGGGTAGAGAGAAACTCCGTGAGTAATTTCCAGACAATGCATGGGAATGGTGGCAAGGGAGCAAGATGGAGAACCCTGTGCTCAAGCCTCAGGGATCAGCCTGCGTGGAGAAGTCCATAGGAGCCGAGAAAGTGTGAGGCTTGCAGAGGAGGTGGAGCCAGGAGAGGGGGTGTGAAGCTGGGGTTGGCAGGGCCAAGGTGGGAAGGCACTGAGTCTCCAGTAGCTGCTAGCTTTACGAATGTGAGCGAGCAAGACAGCAGGAGCCTCCAAGATGGAAGTCCCATGGTTGATAGCCCAGTCTCTTGTAGCTTGTGTGCCTTTTGCTTATCAGGCATGTGTTGTTAAACTGGGTCACGTGACACACACCTGTAATCCCAGTGTTTAGGGCAGAGGCAGATGTGTCAGGAAGGCAGCGCCATCCTGGACTACACAGCAAGCTTGAGACTAACCCAGGCTATCTAGTGAGCCCTTGTCTCAAAAGAAAATAAACAGGGATGTGTGTCAGGTCCAGCCCGCACTCCAAGGTGGCAATAGGAGGAGATGGATCCTCCAGGAGGCTGCCTCCCACCATCAAGTCTCTTGTGACTGCAGGAGGGTGTCAATCATGTACGCATCTAACCCGGGTGACACTTGGGCAGTAGAAGCAGGAGTTCAAGGTGGAGCATCAGTTCCTTAGAGACTTTGAGGCTAACCTGGGGTACATGAGACCGTGTCACACACAAACCGAAAAAGTAAACCCTTAATTGTGGAGCCTGTCAGAGACAACAGTGGTTACAGGGTTGATACACATTCAGCGGTGGCTCCAAGAAGTAAACTTTGGATGGAATTATCTAGAAGGTTCCCTAGAAGAGTCGTATCAGCAGTGGGCCTTGAGGGATTGGAGGACCTGTGAGCCGATTAGTTTTATGTCAGCTTGACACAAGACATCATCATCAGAGAGAAAGGAGCTTCAGTTGAGAAAATGCCTCCATAAGATCAGCCAGCCCATTGTGGGTGCTGCCATCCCTGGGCTGGAGCAACCCAATAAGCCACTATCTCCACAGCCCCTGCATCAGCTCTTGCCCTGACTCGATGATGAACTGTGATGTGGAAGTGTAAGCTGAAAAAGTCCTTTTCTCCCCAAGTTGATTTCGATCACGGTCCTCATCACAGCAGCAGCCCTGACTGGGACAACCTACCTGGTGGGAGGGGAGTCCAGTCAGGAACCCATGGCCTGGGCTAAGGGCAAAACCAGAACACAGGGCTACTTGGGTCTGATACCATTTACCGTGCAAGAGATGCCTGGAGCTCATGCCTGGAGAGGAAGGGAGGGGTGGGGGAGGGAGGGAGTGTACAGAGATGTAGCCCTGCTTGCAGGAGGCAGCACCCAATGCCTGTAGCCTAGTGCCATGGGCTGGAACCGCACTGGCCCGGTTACACCAGCGCCTTCTTCTCTTGCAGTTTGGACGCACTGAGGTCATTGATAACACACTCAACCCAGACTTTGTGCGCAAGTTCATTGTGGATTACTTCTTTGAGGAGAAGCAGAACCTCCGTTTTGACCTGTGAGTGGAAGGTGGGGCTCACGCTGGAGGGGTGTGGGAGGGGGGTAGAGTCCTTGGGACTAGGGCCTGGTATGTATGTGTGTGTGTGTGTGTGTGTGTGTGTGTGTGTGATTGGGTGAAGTGCTTGACTCTGGGGAGCATCCACGGAGGCAATTCAGGCCTCCACCTAGTTGACTATTGTTCCCTGGCGTCCAAGGTACCTGCTGGCCTCTCCCCATGTTGGGAGGTGTGTCTAGTCTCCTCGAGTCATGAGACAAGTCGGGCTCTGGTATCTTTGTTTGCCCAAAAAGAGGGACAGGGCCATCAGGAGGACTTTCCCCCGTAGTAACCAGGCAGGGAGTTTGTGTCCAGGGGCTGTGAGGGAGAGGGGTGGGGTTGCAGAGGACAGTGCCCTGGAGAAGAAGAGAGCGGAGAGAAAGATTCCTGGGGGGTTCTGGCAAAAATCTGAGGGGAGCTGGGGGAGGCAGAAACTTGGAAGCTAGCATGGGAAGAAGAGAAAGGCTGAGACGTGTGAACAAACATGGCCCGTGACGTGACAGAGAAGTTTGGTGACAGTCTGGAGAGGCTGATCCCCAGCCCTCAGCAGGTGCGTGCGTCTGAGCCTAAAGCAGGGGAGGGAGGCTGCTGGAGGAAATGTTACAGCAAAACCCTGGGAGAGGAGGGTACAGCTCCTCTGGCTCTAGGAGAGGGGACCAGCTCGGCTGCAGGAGCAGCTTACAACCCGCTCAGGTGGAGGTAGGGACCAGGCCCGGGGGAGGAGGTCTAAGTACAGAGCCCCCAGACAGACCACGCTGAGGCTGGGAAGGCAGGCGACTGGCAGTGATGGATAGGGTGACTCAGCCGCCTGTGACCCAGCCAGGATACAGGTTCACTTGCATCAGTTCCCATTCTTAGTGAGATAAAACACGTGTGCAGGGAAACACACAAATCTTTAAAAATTAATCATGTTTGTTTGTTTGTGTGTGAGTCTGTGCGTGTGCCGTGGCAGGGTATGAAGGCCAAAGGGCAGCTTATGAGAGTTGTCCTTCCTTTGTGTGGGTCTCGGGGATTGAACTCAGATCATCAGGCTTAGCTGAAATCATCCCTAATTGCCAAGCCATCTCACAGGCTGGGAAATGGATAAATCCTGAGAGAGAGCCAAAGGACTGTCTTCACAGAGATCGGGCGGGAGGAGCCTCCAAGGCTCCCAGTGCTCCCCTGGGGAATCTGACTGTACTCAGGGTCCCAGGCAGGGTTCAGTGGGATCTCCCCTGCCTGCCTCTACCATTTCTCTGTGTTTCCTGTAGATACGATGTGGACTCCAAGAGCCCGGATTTATCTAAACACGTGAGTTCTGCCTGTGACTGCCCAGCAAGCCCAGGCTCTCTTAAATGCCGTAGTCTGACTGGGCCCTGGACTTCACTCAAAGAGCATGTGTCCAGGACTGCACGTCGTGAGGGAGGTGGGGTGACTGTGAATGCGGTGGCTGACGCTGGTCTCTTCTGCCCTGGTATGCAGGATTTCCTGGGCCAGGCCTTCTGCACCCTTGGAGAGATCGTGGGGTCCTCTGGGAGCCGCCTGGAGAAGCCCCTCACGTAAGTGTAGGAGGGGTACAGCCTGTCCGGGTGTCTCCCCCTGTGATGAGCCATCTTCTGCCCACCCTGCTGAGAGTCTGCTTTAGGAGAGGGATCCCAGGCCCCGCCCTCTTGCACTGATCCAGGCTGTTATTAGAGCTTGTATTCCTGCAGGGAGTGGGAGGGGGCCATGACTGAGAACTACCTAGTCAGTTTGTACCCCTACCTCTCTAATTGTGTAAGAGACCAGAGGACCCCAGGGGACGTGACATATCTAAGGCCACACAGACAGCAAGTGGGAAAGCTGAAATTTGAACCTGGGATTTATTTGCACAGCATATTCCTCCACTTATTCACAGTGTGTAGGTGTAGACCTGAGCTGGAGCTAAGAACAGGCTGGAACTGGGGGGAAAGAGGGGCACTTCTCACCCTCCCACCTCTGATAGTCTACAGGAGAGCTGTCACTCTGAGTGGCCTCTGGGATCGGGAGTCGCCAGGATTCCCTCTGTGCAGCTGTGGATGGCTTGTCCTTATTCCTGAGGAAGCCCTTGGGGCAGGGCCCTGGCAAGGGCGGGCACAGACTAGGACGAATGTCCAGGTCACAGGGCAGGCAGGAGAGAGGGGGGGTTCAGACAGAACTGAGCATGAACCCCTCACTGGCTTCTGCCAGGTTTCTGTCTTCACACTATAGTTCCTAACTGGTGTGTGTGTGTGTGTGTGTGTGTGTGTGTGTGTGTGTATCTGGTGTATATGTAAGGAACAGACTCTCCTAGACCCTTGCCTGTAACTCCTCAGCCACTACATGGTAGAATCAGGACCCCAAGAAAGGTTTCTTTTTCCCCCTCAAAAGTCTCATCTCTGGAGTCCCAGAAAATTAACAATAGCTACCATTTATTGAGATCAGGAGAAAAACTCAGTTTTGGAGATTATGGTGCTTAAAGACTTTGGGGCAGTCTTCAAAAACTGTGATACAAGAAGATGGGGAGACGGTGTCGTGGAAAAAGCACCCGAGCACAAAGAATAGATCCCCAGCCCCCACACACAAGCTCCACAGACTTGGCCGCCTGTGACCCCAGCCTCGGAGGCATGGTCAGCTCTTGACTGGTTACACAGAATGCGAAGCTCCAGGCTCCCGCTGCCTTGGCTTATATAGTGATGGAAGAAAGGAGATCAGCCTCTGGGCACACACAGGCACACACACGTGTGTCCACACTTACGTCTTTAACTGGTTAAACACAACAACGGTATGGATGGGGGCTGAGACAGCTCAGCAGTTAAGAGCACTTGCTGCCTTAGGGGACCTGAGTTTGCTTCGCAGACCAGCATCAGGTGGTTCAGGATCACCTGTCACTCCAGCTCCGGGGACCCAAAGTCCTCTTCTAGACTCCAGGCACCTGCATGCATACTCACAGGCACATACACATGTAAATAAGAATAAGGTAACTCCTAAAAACACAGCAGAGTGTAGATCTCGTTTGTCCTTGGAGGCTCGAAAGTCGTGGAAACACGTGAAGAGGTCGCTTTTACTCAGTTCATTTAGGTGTCTCACAAAACCAACAAAGACTTCATTTAGAATTTTTAAGGATTTGTTGTTGTTTGGTTGGTTGTTTTTAGTTTATTATTTATTTTAAGGTTTTGCATGTGGAGTTGTGTGTTTGTTTGTTTTGTTTTTTGAGACAGGGTCTTTTATGTAGCATGAGCTGGCCTGGAACTCACTATGTAGATAAGGTTGAATTATAGATTTATTATCATTTGTTTGTTTGTTTGTTTCAAGATGGGGTTTCTCTGTGTAGCCCTGACTGTCCTGGAACTCACTCTGTAGACCAGGCTGGCCTTGAACTCACAGAAATAGCCGACCTCTGCCTCCTGAGTGCTGGGATTAAAGGCATATGCCACCATCACCCAACTTGAATTATAGATTTAAAGAGGCCCAAAATTTTTATCCAGTTCCCAAGACTGGAAGGATGACTCACAAGTTAAGAACACACACTTCAGGGCTGGGTAGATGTTAAGAGCATTGGCTATTCCTCTGGAGAACCCAGGTTCACTCTCCAGCGCCCACATGACAGCTCATCGCTGTCCTTAACTTCGGCTCCAGAGGATCTTGTACCCTCATGCAGACATACATGCAGGCAAAGCATCAATGTACATAAAAATAAATCTTGAAAACTTACAAAAAAAAAAAACCAAACCTCATACTGCAGCCATTGTGTGGTAGTGTACAACTTTGCCCTAGCACCCACCCCAGGTGGCTTACAACCACCTGCAACTCCATCTGCAAGGGACTGGACTGGACATCTCTGGCCTCTTGTGCACACACACATGTGCACACACACATATACACATACACACACGCACATACACAAGTTATAAGTAGTAAAAACAAATTTAAAAGAGGAAGAGAGAAAAGTGGGATTTTCCCAGGAGAATTCCCAATGAGCTCTTGTTCAATAGCAGTGTTCAGGGCCTTTCATTCGAGTTTGTATATTTTAAATTTATCATTTTTACTCTTTGACAGTCTCACAGATGCGTATAGTGCATTTTCATCCTCCTCCTTCCCAATTGCCCTCTCCCATCACCTTCCTACTCCCTTTGGCTAAGGAGAAGCCCAGGACTGTGCCTACACCTCCCAGCTCCCACCTGAGTCTACACCTAAGCAGTTACAGGTCCATTTCTTGCCTGCTGTCACCTGTCCACCTTGGGCAGGGGATGGAGGGGTCTTTCCTACAGAAGATGTGCCCAAGGACAAGCAAGATCTGAAATGTGGAGTCACGGGAATGCTGCGGGGGAGGCAGGTCCTTTCCCCCAGGAGGTCTTGTGTTTCTAAGTTTAGCCATTCATGACTAAACCCCACCAGCAGCTCCTGTTTACTGGGCATCTATTCTGGGACAGATGTGAGGGTCAGTGTTGTGCTGGTGAAATCTGCGCAGGAAATCCTCGGTGTTCATGGGCTCCACATACGTGTACTCTATCAACTAAATGCTTTTTAAAAGGCTGCATATTCCTGAGCGTGTGTTGTCATCTTCCTGGCCACCATTCTCTGGATGATGCAGTCCAGCCAGCCTATGCCGATGGTTTACTCTGTGTTAGGTATCATAAGACACCTAAGGATGGCTTAAAATACAGGAGATGCCAGGCATGGTGGTGCATGCAGGTAACCCAGCAGGAGGGGTTCAAGGCCATCTTCAGCTACATAAATTGAAGGTCAGACTCGGCTACATGAGTTTATTTACAAATTTCTTTACTGCTTATTTACAAATAAATAGTAAAGTAAAATATGCGGCAGAATAAGTGTGGCTGCTATTCGGATGCTGTAGTGGCCTTTTAAGAGATTTGTACATCCAGAGGCCTGTCCCAGAGGGTCAGAGAACCAGAGCCTTGTACCTCTGAAGCGATGACCGCGTTGGTTTGGTTTCATTGTGTTTGAGGGTGGAGGGGGACCCTGTTGTTTTCAAACAGAGCCTCACTGCAGGGCAGCTTCAAACTCGAGATCCTCTGCCTCAGCCTCCTGAGGACCGGGATTGCTCATGCACTACCACACACAGCTTCCTTTGAGATTTTCTGTCGGGGGGACCAGGGTCTTCGTCTGCAGCCCAGGAAGACCTCAGAGAGACCCTTCCTCCTCAGCCTCCCAAATGCTGGCGTTGTGGGCCTGTGCCACCAGGCCCTGTCAAGGCGCCGACTGAGTTCACATCTGCTAAGGCCGCTCTCCTTGGCTCAGGATGACCGTAGTATTTCTTCTGTCTGCATGGAGTCCGCCCTTCTGTGTGTGGACAGTCAGGCCCCACCTACGTGACCTCAGTTCCTAATCAACTTATTTTTTCTTAAAAGTTTTTTTAAATTATTTTTCTTTAAGTGTGTATGTCTGTATTGGTGAGTGGGTGTGTGCTCTTGAGTACAGGCTCCCTCGGAGCCCAGAAGAGGGGAACCAAACTTGGTTCCTCTGGAAGAGCAGTTCTTGCTCTTAACTGATGAGCCATTTCTCCAGCCCTTTTAAAGGTCCTGTCTCCAAATATAGTCATAATATAGTGCTGAGGTTTGGGTCTTCAGCATGCGAGTGGGAGGAATGGTCTAAGTCATTGACTGAGGCCCAATGATGTGACAGAGACCATCTCCTCCTGCGGCAGGTGTCTGGGTCACCTGGAGCAGAGAAACTCAATCCACCTCAAGGTTTCTGAGTAGGCCTGAGGCATGCATGTGATACATTCGCTGGGGCTGCTGGTCTGGGGCCCCACTCTGAACACCTCAGGGGTAGCATGACTTGCCCTGGGAAGTGTCCCTCCTGTGGTCTGGGCTTTTGGTCCTGTTTTAGTGACTTCCAGGGCAGAAGCCAGGCTCCCGAAATCTGCAGGTTGTGTTCTGGCCATGAGGACTGGGGTCGTGGGCTCACACTTGGCTTTCTCTTCCTCTGTCTCCACAGGATAGGAGCATTCAGCCTCAACTCCCGGACAGGCAAACCTGTGCCAGCTGTGTCTAACGGGTAGGTCACCATGCAGCTGTGGCCTTCGTGGCCTTCTGCGTTCAGTCAGTTCTAAAGAGGTCACCTGCTCTGGGCCCATTTCCTGATCTATTGTTAATCCCTGGGTAGAAAGATAAAGGCACCAAGATGACGGCCTACCCTCTTCTGTCTGGGCCAGAGGTGGAGCCTGGTGAGCCCTGGTGGCTCTTGGGACTTTAGGGAGTAGGGAGGGACTCAAAAGAGTGACATGTACTGAGGGTGGGTGGGCCTGGGACCTCTCAGTTCCTCTTTCTTCCCTTTCCTCATCTAATACCCCTCTTGTCTCACCCTCCTCCATGGCTTCTCTATTCAATATCAACCTTCTCTTCCTTATGGAGTTGATTTGGCTCAGTCCCACCCTACCCCGCCTCCACACACACACATACACACACACACATACACACATACACATACACACGTGCACTGCTCTCATAGCTCACCGGCAGCAGAGGACCGTCTCCTTCGCCAGTTCCCCCTCCGACTTTGTGCTTTTGGCTGCCCTCATAAAAAACGTGACCAACACAGACCCTCTATGGGTCTTCCCTCTCCTCTCCTGAGGAGCATCTCCGTCCTGGTTTCTTTTTCATCCCCTGTGGGCCTAGGACCTTTGGGGCTGAGTGAGGGAGTCCCACCCGGCTGCCTGCATGTGAGGAAAGAGCCTGGAGGAGCCATATGTGGACCCCTCACGGCTCAGGACCAGCGTGGCTTGTGGTTTATGGGGAGAGTGGATGCCAGCGAGCTGAGAGGGAACCTAGCGGCTGTAAGAGGGGGATCAAGTCCGGAGGGAGGGAGGGAGGTGGGGAGAGGAAGGCCAAGCTGGTGGGAGCAGGTTGAGGCAAGAGAGGAGGGAAAGCAAGACCAGAAAAAGAAGGTGGAGTCCAAGGCAGAGCAACAGATGGAGAACCAGGGGCGGAGGAGGCTGCTGCTGAGGACTCTGGTCTCTACCAGGCCAGTGTGTGGGGAAGGACTGCCCGAGAGTAGGGGCCAAGCTGCAGCACCGCCACCTGCCTGGTTGGCCCCTCATCTGCTCACCCAGCTTGGAGAAACCTGGGCTGTGTCTCCCTCCAAAGTGATGCTGGGTAAAGCTCCATCCATGGTCCTTAAAGGGTTCCACAATAGCAACTGCTGCCCTGGACAGGGCAGGCGATGGGGTCTGGATTCCACAGCGACCACCGTGGCACAGCAAGACTGTGTGGTCGAGGGCCTTCTCTGCACCAGGCCCTGTGCGTGGGTGTCCGGAAAGCAGATTCTGTGTCACTCCCAAGTGTGTGCAGGGCCAGAACCCTAGTCACAGCTTCCCTCACACGTGACTCTCCCCCTCAGTGACCCTATGATCCCCCAACTTAGTCTCAAACCTTAAAGTGGCATGGGCTAGTCCTTGGGGGCATGCCCCCCACTTCCACCGAAAAGAGGAACATGTGGTGGAACACCCTCAGTAGATCCCCTCTCTGGCTCACCTTCCTGGAGAGGCTTCTCTGCCGTGGATGGTCCCTTGTCCTACATGGCCCCTCACTAAGTGGGGTGTCTTTTGGCCCTGGGAATTCAAATGGAGGTAGCTGCAGGCAAGAGCCACAGAGAGGACCCCTCCCCAAGACCTTAACCCATCCTTAGCTGTTCCTCCTTAGTGAAGCAGACTGGCTCAGAGCTGGAACACCAGGGGACCCTGGGTAGCTGGGTACAGGGTGGCTAGCCCACAAGGTCTTTTGCCCACAGAAGTGGTCTTTGGATGGAAAGCTTCAGAACCACTGGTCCGGAAGCTTCCGGGTGAGTCTGGGTGCTGTTGCCATTCTTAGACCCCCCTGGTGGGCCTTGGGAGCAGGGGGCGGGCCATCAGGCTGAGGGCCTGACCCCAGCACACAATGCTCTCGGCCACACTACCCAGGCACTTCTGGGGACGTTCTCAGGGCTGTTGGGTGTAGATGCCTGGATGGCACGGGGCGGGCTTGGGAGTGGCTGACCCAGGAATGTCGGGTTGGTCTGTCCCTGTCTGGCTTGTCATTTTTGTCTTTCCTCCCTCAGTGGTGTCCCAGGGAAGAAGTGTGGCTCCATCATCCTGTCTGCAGAGGAGCTGAGCAACTGTAGGGTGAGTAACAATGTACCTCTCCATGATCCAGGATGACTCATCCCTGGAGGGAGCTGGGGTAGACAGGGCTCCTTGTGACCCGACTGGCCTGAGACCGTGATACCGGAGCTAGAAGATTCCAGCCTTGTGGTTGAACAGAGTGAGACCCAAGGCACGAGGGATCAGCTGCACCACAGAGCCAGGCTTCTGGGTCCAATCACATACACGTCCCTCAGCCCAGACTGCCCCAGCCCAGCACTGATGACCAAAGCCATTCAGCCTGGCACACTTGACATTCGGTTGCCACCGTTCTCTTTGCCCCTGGCACAGGATGGCACCCTCTGTTCCACAGAGGGAGAAAATGTCTGAGTGTGTGGGTATCAGTGTGAGTGTGTGTGCATGGGTGGACGTGAGTGTGGGTAGGTCTGGATAGGAATCCGGGTGGGTGTGGCTGTCGGGAAGCCAGGAGTCTGCAATCCCCGGCAGCCTTTGGTTTTGACTCTTCTGGAGGAGTGTGGAGCAGTGCGGCCCATAGGGTGGCTCAGCACCAAGAAAGGGGTCAGGGCTCCGATGGCTGACGACAAAGGGAAAATGTGGTAAGGGTGCTGACCACTGTCAAGGAATGAGTCTCGCTTCTGCATGGGAAGGACCTGAGAGTCTCATTTCACCGGAAGCTCCGGCTTCTCTCTGAGACAAGAGGGAGCACACGTGGGCTCTACTCCAGATCAGCTGACTGTAAGCTCGGGGCTCTGCCCACAGGCCACCAAACCAGGCATCCCTGAGGCCAGTGAGGGGTTGGGAGGGAGAGAGGCCTGAGTATCTGGGGACAGTCGGAAGGAGGAGAAACAGGACTTTCTGACCCACCTGGATCAGAGCTGCCATCCACCAGTAGGGGCTGAGGTATGTCTCAGCTTCAGAGTGCTTGCCCTAAAGGAAGAAAGAAGGCCAAGTGTCCCTTCCTCGAATGGGCGGGGCGGGGGAGACAACTAATGGTCACATCTGTGTAGGTAGTGTGCTATTTCTCATGGCCTGTTTGATGATTCTAGATTACACTAATGGTTCATAGATGTAGACTTGTTTATGTCTTCTTGTGTAGTATGAAGTTTCTGACATTCGGTGGTTGAGGAGACCAAAGCCTGGGGAGCTGAAGTCCAGGGCCACACAGTCACCCAGGAGATGAGGTTTGGACCCAGGCAGCCTGTTCTAGAGCAGAATGTGGGGTGAAAAGCAACTCCGGCTTTTCACAACCTTGTCCCTGGGACTTCTGTGTGGAAACAGAATGGACTGTCGAGAGGTGACCAGAGGGCCCCGGTGGTGGCCCTCGCTGTCTGTTTAGCTGGCTAGCGGAGGCCCAGACACCAGGAAGCAGGCTCGCCCAGCATCTACACTCTGGGCAGGGCTGCTGTGGTTGGTGTGCACTGAGGATCTGATAAGAGCCTAGCCAGGGAAGTCCAGCAGAGTGTTTAGTGATGACGGACACTGTGTCAAAGGAGGGCCTAGCTGCACAAACCAGGCCTGGAACCAGGACACATTTTTCTGTTTCTGAGTTCAAGAGCTTCAAGGCTCCCCTGCTGTGGGGCAGTCGGGTTAACTGTTGAGGATGAAGGTGCTGAGGGTGGTGACTGCCATTCTCATAGATAGATAGATAGATAGATAGATAGATAGATAGATAGATAGATA